GGGTTTTACTGTACAAGCAATCAGAAATAAGTGCATTTTTATTAATTTAGGATTTTCTGAAGATAGAGATGGCGGAAATATTGAGGAAAATAAGTTGCTTCTCACCTCCTCCAATTTTTTCAGCGTGTCGCGTAACTAAACGTTTGGTGCCACACAATCAGGAGTCTTATTTCCGCGTAGCTGCGATCTCAGTAAGGGCGAGAAAGAGGGCATGAAGACAAAGTTGCCTGCATTCCATACCTCGGCAGTAGATGACAGGGAGTGGCCTGGCAGCTTGATGATGGTGCCGGTTTGCTCTTGGTGGGATGACTGGACGTGTGCCGTTTTTGAACAGAAACCACTTGGTCGTGTCGGAAACCGAACTCTGGCCATCAATCCCGTGGCCAATCACTAACACGTTGCTGTTCTTTTTAAATTCGCTGCATCCTACCGCTGCCAGACCACTTATTATGTCTTCCTTTTTGTTTCTTCGCTTGTTATTTTCTATTTGTCTCTTATGCATTACGTATCAGTAGACGAAGCTCGGCAGGGGGGCATCTTATTTTACTGCGTTCTGTTTTCGTTAGATGCAGCAGATGATTAACGACTGGGCTGTCAAAAACTACAGCGACCAATTTTTCTCCTGTATGCAGTTGTCTGCATCCCAATTCAGGTCTGAGATACTTCGTTCCATCCCATGTGCCTCGCTGTGCACATAATTATACCTGCATTTGGCTTGGCAGGTAAGATATCATGTCTCCCTCTGCGATGTAATTGCATCAGACTTGACTAAATACGACAGTATAACTCGAAGGTCAACACCACTAATGCCAAAGTCCGCCATTGGACACGATCCTGAGTCAGTTCCAACCTCACGTCATATAAGTCTCGGTTCGCCGCTCCCGAAGAAGTTTCCCCCGCGAAAATTTTGTGTGTGTGTGCATTTCCATCCCCCCCGAGTTACATCGATATTGCCCCAAGTACTTTAATTGTTCTAATCAGCGGACGTGTGGATAAAAGATTTTTAAGGAGGCGACCGTGACCTTGTCTTTTGTATACCAGGACACTTTTAAATCACGACGTAACTCAGCCACAGTGCCAGCTCCCGTATAGAGAGGGTAAGACGGGAGACATAATCACTTTACCAAGACGTTTGATTTCGAATCTTTAGTGCCGACGTTGTGAGTAAAGATGCGACTTTGCGAAAATGAAATTTGAAATTCCATGGTTTAGGGTGTCTCAAAAAACTGTTACTTACTCATCTCGTCAAGAAATGTCTTGCTTTTATCTGACCCGAATATTCGTCCCCGTGTTAACAAAAGCTTGCCACTGATTCCTTTCCCGAGTTTCTTTAATTCACTCCACACCTTCACATCGCATTCCTCCAATCATGGTCTCTCATGTGTTTGTTCTCTTTCCTTGAGGTTTCCGGCTAAGGTTTTGTGTTCCCATTTCCATGCGTACGAGGTGCGATCGAAAGGTTTCCAGACTGCGCGTATAAAAACCCGTACACTTATCTCAGGTATTAAATTCATCCATCACCCTCGAAGTAGTTCCCCTGGGAGTGAACACAACGATCCCAGCGCCGCTGCCAAGCCTGGAAGCATCCCTGGAAATCTTTCTTTGTCAGCCTGTCAAGCACCATCTGCGATTCTGCCTGAATCTCTCCTATCGTCTCAAATCTCCTTCCCTTGAATTTTCATCTTTCGGAAGAGGAAGAAGTCACACGGAGCTAAATCCGACGAATAAGGAGGGTGCGGGATGACGGCCATGGTGTTTGAGGCCAAAAACTGGCGAACTTTGAGGGCGGTGTGCGCTGGCGCGTTGTCATGATGCGTCGCATGTAGAGTTCTTCCTTTAGAATCAGCTGACAGGTCCCATAGCCTATCCCAACAAGGTCGCACAAGTCGTTGATGGTACGACGTCGATCTTCGTGAATGGCCTGCCGAATCTTCGTAACATTTTCGGGCGTTGTGCTCGAAGATGGTCGTCCAGAACGCTCGTCATCATCGACAGAGGTTCGGCCATTTTTAAAACGTAAATGCCACACAAAAGTTTGTGCACGACCCATTGCGGACTCCCCAAATGCTTGCTTTAGCATTTCATAGGTTTCCGTAGCCGTTTTGGCGAGTCTTTGGCAAAATTTGATGCACACGCCATTCCGAAAGCGCAGGAGGGTCGGTGTAATGCACTACCAAAACACCCGTAACTAAGAAACAAATGCTAATTCGATAATGCCGGCTGGCACACTGATTCACTATGAATGTAGGCCGCACCCCCTAGCGGCAGAAGCTCGTACTACATCCGGTTCACCCTCTATTGACACAGCCCTGTCTCATTATTACTATTATTGATACAGCTACTGTAACACGAGAAGGATACTCATTATGAAATCTCCATCTTTCGTTTTATCTCCCTTAGGCCTAAAATATTTTGCCCTAAAACATTCACATCCTCCGAAAGCTGAATACTGTAATGTTGCCTTCGGCTCTTACGCATAGCATCAGTCGTGCAAAATGTCTTCACGTTCTGTGAAATGTAGCTGAAATAAACGGCTGTCGTCCTTGAAAGGTATATACTTATGGTAACATTACAAAACTTTTAATGGTTGACAACGGAAACGTTTAATTTTGGTTATTTTTAATCGAGGTCATTAAGTTGCGGTCCTGCTACGAGCTTTAAAAAAAAGCTAAGCTTAACACTTTGATATTTTGTGTGAAGTTCATAAATTGAACGTAGAATTAAGATGTCGTGTTTTTGCCGTGTAGGTTATTCCAGTGTGACGTGTCTGACATTACTGACCGGACTTAAGTTAAATTTAATTTTATGTACATCCACAGAAATTATTTGAGAGATTTTAATTTTGATCCGTATAAGCTCCTACTGGGTATTAAAAAGTTTATAAATACTGCTCTTTGAACAGAAAGTTGTACAGAACGTGTAATAGGAATAGCTTTTACTGAAGACTATACAACATAAATTTGAAATGCGGTATCTTTCGATTTGATGTATATTTAACGAAATACAAGAGAAAGTAATGCCACATTTTGTGAAATGCGTTTTAAATAATAAGTACCGAACAACAGGGTAATACATATCTGGAATAAATAAACCCTGAGATCAGTGATTTACACAAGTAATGTGTTGAGGTAATGTGTATTATTCAGTTTGTGTAATGCCGTTGAATTTCCTTTTGATATACGCGTTATTGTAGTTTTATTCAAATTCTTATTTTTATATTTACAGGAGATGGATATATATTTAGTTATTAAGTTATTTCTCGACGCTTTCTTAACTGCATGGTTCGTGATTAATTGTAAAGGTGAAGAAAATGTTGTCTGATGCGTAATTCTCAGGCTACCGTACAGCTGGTACGTATTACCGCTCTGAAAGAATACTGCAATCTGTAAGATTTGAGGTTTTCACAGCGGTGAGTATGAAGATTTCTGTCTTCTGGGTTGTTGCGCTGTGTAGACTGGCCGATGTTTACCAACGTTTCAGAGGTCATACTGCCTCCGTCATCAGGGCGATGAGTCTGAAGATTTCTGTCTTCTGGGTTGTTGCGCTGTGTAGACTGGCCGATGTTTACCAACGTTTCAGAGGTCATACTGCCTCCGTCATCAGGGTGATGAATATGCCAATAGGGTGTGAGGTGCTAGGTTTATAGGCCGGAAAGTGAAAGGTGCAATCCATTCGAAGTTAAATGAAGTAGAATTTACTGCAAATACCGGTTGATTTGTATAGTTGAGAAAGATGATTTATAAACACCAGTCACCCACTGTAAATGCCTCTTATCTACAGGCTGTCTACGACTTGAGTATCCATTCGTTTGGTTGAGTAGAATTTGAATGGTTCTGATCTGTGTTCTGTTGAGCTGTCATTTGTGAATTTTTGTCTTACGTACGTTTCGTAACATGTAAATAATTTGTTTCTTGCCATTACATTATAAAGAGTCCTATGAATGTTTAAAATTGGCTTTGGGCCATATAAAAGTTGAAAGAACATGGACTATTTTGTGACACTTTAGATTGTTATAAAAAGTGGCTTGACTTGTTATTAAATGTCCCATGGCTGTTCGGGTTTTGGGCCGGATGGGGGCAGGTCGTTGTACCCCCACAAACGAAAGTTATTATTCCTTTGTTTCGCTGGTTCTTTACCTAATAAATATGAAGTCGATGGGATGGTTGAATGACGTCACAGAAAATTATACATTTGTCTTCCAAATGTCATTCTGTGTCGTCTCAGATATTTATGCTTTACACCGCCTTGTAGTGTGTTGGTCTGAAGAAAGCAGCGTGCTGAGGAGAATGCAACTATGGAACCTGACTTGCTCTCTGTAACCCATTCTGGTCTCTGATCTAATACTCTCTGTTATTGAGATTAGGAAAATCCGTTTTGTGTTCATTGAACACTGGCCACGGGTGAAATGTAGAAGTGTACTCATCAGTATTGAAATATTATCGTTGTTTTGTTGTGTTTTGTTGCAGTTTTAGCATTTAAGGCTAGTGAAGTATGCAAAATCATTTTAATAGGTCAGCAATGTTATAATGGCTGAAAACTAGATTGTTAAGAGACTTTCTGACTCTGACAAAGCTCACGTCAACATTAATGAATTGTTAATTATTGAAGTAAAAAGCTTGAAAGACTTTCCAACACTGCCTCAGGAAATGTTGGAAATTGTAGAGTGCGGTCGAATTTGTATAAAGGTACTGGAAACGACGGACATTTTAAAGCATGGCGACGTCATTTGTTTACTCTGTATTGTTGTGTTGGTATACTGGCTTCAACAATCCCCTTCCGTTATTACTCATAGTATTTTAATAGACAATACGTCTTTATCGAATAATATATCAAAGATTGGCAAGGGTGGAATTGGACGTAGAAAGTTGACTGACCAAGAACATCAGACCTTTGAACAGCGACGTAAAGAAGTAGAATATCAGATAGGGACAGCGCTCCGGAAGGAGCGCGTTGCTCTAGTAAACTAAAGTTTCCAAATTTCTTTGTTTCTTGTATTTCAGAGTTACTTGATGGGGCAGTCAATGCATTCCATCATCTGCCGTGAAGATCACGATGTGCTGGACAAGAACTTAACACCTGACTTGGATCTCATGGCAGCCGAACATGGTGTTTCTGGTACGTTCATTGTTTTGTTTCGTGTTCCATTCCTATAATGTTTGCCTCCTGGAAGTACGTGTTTTGTGCCCTTCGACCGAAGAACGCGTTAGGTCTTCCCAGAGGTACACACTTTGCCATTCATTCATCCATTACAGACCCTGTTGACAGAACAGTCTGATAGCGAGCTAGTTCATTTATTGACAGTGCGATAGATATACACATTTATTTCCTGACATGTCAGACTGAGATAAACTGGAGATAATCTGTAATAAACTAGATATCTCTTACAGTCGATAATTGTTTCTTAATTTTCTCCGGCAAAGACGTGTTTACAAATATTGTCTTTTGTTGATTAGGTCAATTGTCACTTGGTGAGGACAGCAGCAGTTCAGGGGACACCTCCAGTTCATCATCACAGAGTGCTATGTCACCCCAACAGCAGCCCGTGTCATCTGCCCCCTCGTTGCAAGACATCACAGGCCCCATTCCGTCTTTGTATCAGCAGCGCCGGTCCTTCTATCTGCGGATGATTCAGAAAGCTGTTTCTCGTAGTGAGCTCACCCAGTATGAGTTGGTCCATGTGCTGGGGTTCCTCAGCGTACCACAGCGACCGACACCCGGGCCTTCCACACCCTCTCGCACTCGCAACCGTTCGCGTGGTATTATTTTTTATATTATTATTCTTAGTAGTAATAGTAGTACTACTGTAATCATTATCTTTCCTTTCAGACTCAAGACTTCTTAATAATAAAACATTGTTGACGTTGTATGCATTTTCTTCAAGTCTTTGTTGCATTTCGATGACAGAAATAGAAATTATATCATTACTAATGCATACAGAAACCTTCATATTTATGCATTGCAGGATTGAAGCATCTGACTGTTACGATGTATCGAGAAATAATATCGTGACCTGCACAGTTTTAGGTTCAGTGTCTGAAAGTTTGTCTTTGTTGTAGCTGACAAATTAAATTTGCTGTTTTTATTGTATCTTGATATCTCTGTGAACCAGGGGCATGTATTTTGTCTTTTACATGAACTGACAGATGTTTAATTTAATATGAGCCCGCTGCACCCAAAAAAATCTATTTCTTGCAGTTCATTACAGAACGTGTGCCAGGCATGTAATAGGGTGTTTAGTAACTAATGTGTTCAGTTACGTCGTTACTTCTGGGTATCACTTTTACCTGTCCTACATACGGTGCCCTTCATACAAGACCTTTGTAGTTGAAGATATTTTTAGCGTCCTTTAACGTGCGTCTGTAGTACTGACGAGCGGACATTTCCCCTTTCTGTCTCAGGCTTGTTGTAGGGCATAGCTGTCTCAAATGTTTTATTCCAGTGAATAGATTATTCTTTACGCATTCCTTTTTTTTTGGGGGGGGGGGAGAGAGAGAAACTAAATATTCTTTTTTTTTCCCTCCATCTTTTAGCCACAAATTGTTGTCAGATATATTTGTATATGAGACGAGTTAACAGTGTAATTTGTGCCTATGCATTTTAATTTTTTTTTAATTATTTCGTTTAATATCACGCAGTGTGCATTGGAACTTCTTGGTGCTTTGAATTTCAGGTGTAATCTGAACATCAATATACAGACTCCAATCTGTCCGATTTAAGAACCTCCGTGTAACATTTCTTTGCTGTTTTTGTGTTGAGTTGTTAGCACTGCCCCTCAGCTCCCTAGGTTGAGTACCAGCGTTTATTCGCTGTAAAGAACTCTTTGTAAGAAATATTCGCACTTATTGTTCGAAACAGAATATGTGATTTCTCTTACCCCCCCCCCCCCTAAAAATTCCCGATAGGACCGTGGCTCCGTGTTTTTAGCGCCCACAGGAACGTAACTGCGCGGTTTACAAAGGATGGTCGTGTGTTTATTTCAGTAAGACGATAACTAATGAGTCATCTGGGTTAAGGATATGAAAATAGAATGAAGACGGAGCTTAAACGCACCTAGAAGTTGTGTACGAACTACGGTTTTATATTGTAAGATTTACAAACATTATGATCGTGTAAACAGTTGAGGTTATGGTTTCACGTAATCGGAGTAACACTAGTGGAAATTACGCACAGAAATGACTCCATAATTTGTATAATTATTACTTTATGTAGATTGAAACAGGAAAGAGACAAACCGTTTGTAAAACTTCACGTAGTAACATTTGTAGCCAGAGCCGTGCCACGGCAGTGGTAATATTGCAGACTGGGGTCTTCTTTACGTCTGTCATGTGGCAGGTGAGTTTCTTGCAACCTTGGCTAGTTCGCTGGCCGACCATAGTGCAAAGAACTGGACGTAAATGAAGGCCAGTGTGTTAAGATATATAAAACTCGTTGATGATACATTTACATGCATGTGTTCATCCCTGCCTGCTTTCTTAGCGAACAATTATGGGTCCGTCCGTGCGTGTGTGCTGTTTCACTTGTTTTCCTAGGAGGTAGGTAGGTGCATTGTTGTGATCCCGTTCTTAGAACACATTGTTGCGGATCAGTGGGAATTGATTTTATTGTTGGAAAAGGCTGTTGCGTAATAATGGCCTAGGATTACGGTGTATAAGTGACCTAAAAACTTTGTTGAGCTCGTTGTTATTCATCAGTGACATCTGATGACAGTACAGCAATAACATTCCAGATTTGGCGTGAAGAATGCGCCTGGAATGTTATTGTACTCCAGAAAGAACACTTTCCAATCTTGTTTAAAGAAACAACACTGTTTTACATCGGTATAATACTGCATAGGGACGATGTATTGTTAATTCTATTCAGTTGTCGCGTATTCAAAATAATGATTGATATGGATACGATTTCTTACTGGACCATCGTACTAAAAACTTAATTACACATGTTTAATGGAGGACTGAAAAAGCTTTTCAAACCTAGAGTGAGAGGAAAATAAATTACCAAGACTATACATTATTGTATTATAGACAAGGTAAGACAGATTAAAAAGAATTAATAAGCAGACTGCACATTAGAACCGTAACTGACAAAGTAGAGAATTGTCAGTTAATTTAAACACAACGGATACGCAGATTGCAAGAATACGGGGCTCAAAAATTATACAAACAAATATCCCGGATGAAAAAGAAACATATTAAGACGTAAATGTAGATGGACAGGCTAGTGCTACTTCTCTGTGTCGGAATGTCCTTCAGGGGTCTTAGACGTAGTTGAGATGTGCTTGGGGTCGCCTGTAGATGGAATTTGTTTACGACTGTAAAATATTACGTAAAGAAATTTTAGACATTTCTCGTGGAATTTGTGGTGAACCTGAAGTGTAACTCAGACGGAAGAAATAAATGCTTACAGAATATTTGGATTTTCGTGATCTGGAAGATCGAGACGTGAAATGAACGTAGATTTTTGTTATAAGGATGTGAACTGGCTCGGCTCAGAATCGGTTCAAGGATCAGAAACGTTTTGTCTAGATGGGGTTAGTAACAACGTTTGACGGCCCATAGAGTTAGATGACAAGTTCGATGAAAAATTATATTGGAAAATAAAGGCGATTTGAAAAATATTGGTTCAAAAAGTTTAAACTGTACTGCAGTAAAAAGGAAAAGGTTAAAATGTATACTCTAAAGGAGACCGCTTTATTCCACCAACACATACACGCACGCACGCGCGTGTGTGTGTGTGTATATATATATATATATATAATTTTACGTTCCCTGTGGATCTTGTCAATTGCGGTATAGAAATCGCACTGCGCAAGTCAGAAATTGTTTTTCCTTCATTTCATTTTGTATCGGTAGACCATATCGAAAGAAATTCAAATGCAAATTGTATATGTTATGAGATCTGTATTTTATGTTTCGGTATATAGCAATTTAGTTCCTGCTGTGAACTGTTTTGTGGGGGAAATATTTGGTACGGTTCGGAGCCAAAATTAAATTCCTCCGACAACTTTTATTGCATATATATATATAGGTACCAAATTTAATAGAAAGCTGCCAATTACTTTTGGGTAAAACATGCTGGCGGACGGACAGGTAAGGCGATTTATTATACGTTAAGAATGTATACACTTTGTGCAAAACATTCTCATAAGTGTGTGGCTTTTCAGTGTAATTTCCCGTGTACTTTTCCATTGAGGATTGGTGGCACAGTTTTCAGAATGGGAAAGTGAAATCTTTTCTCTGTGAAATTATATCAAAAGGAGTTACGAAGTATCTGTCCTTCGGTATTAATGCTAGTTCTCATACTAAAAGCAGCTTTGCCTCAGTTTAGGGACTAGTACAATATGAGGGGGGTTTATATTAGCAGCTTTCATGGAAGAGATAATCTGGACACATGAACAAATAAATTGTTTTTGAGTCTTTGTGCTGACACAATAGGATTTGAATCTACAAAGGTCTCTTAAGCTCTTGAGAGAGTAAAAACATCACTTTCTGTTACTTGTGTGGGTTTATGTTTGAAGTCCTTGCTAATTTTGCAGTGGATTTCACTCGTTGCTATACACGGACAAACACTGGCAATTTCTGCGAACATGGAAACCGAACGACGTAGTTAAGTGGGTAACACTCCCGATTGATTCTTGGAAGGTCCCGAATTTGCATCTCGTATCAGCCATCGGTTATCGTGCCAAAATTTTGTGGTTTTCTTTGATCTCCACAGATAAATGCTGGAATACTTATACTTCAGACACTCAACGAGAGAGTCTTCCGGCCAGTTTAATGTTCACCGTCGTATGATAAATGTTGCGCCTCGCAATTACTTTTTTCAACATTATGACATTAATTCCAAATGTATCCGATAAGAATCTCGACTGAATTACTGATGCCCGAATTGAGATTGATATTGGTTTTCCAGTCGAATGTCTGGATGGTAATTTTAAATGTGGTACAGTTGGTTACTTCCAAATCATATGCAGTCAGTCGACATTGCAGTTGGGAACGCCCCGGTAGCCATCTTCGGATCTCTGGCGTTTTGAAGGCGATAGCTACACGGCGTCACGAACCATAGAACCGCCGTGAAAACCACAGATTTCACATGGTAGCCATCATTGATCACTGTCAAGACTCGTGGGACTTCGAGCATTTGGAGCTTTGATTCGTGTGATGTCCGTAATTCCGTTGCAGACGCAATATTTGACAGCAGTCCCGTAATAGTGAAGACATTCGACGACTGTCGTCCTACCCGGGTGCTGCAGAGTGACTGTGGTGGCCTATCGAGAGAGTGTGTTTGTTTTTATGGTTCCCACCCCCGTATCCCAGCCACGTGTCCAGAGGTGAATGAATCCGTGACACGATTCGGAGTCGCTCAGCATGCCTCAGATCGATGACGTCTTCGCGCTCCCTCTGCTCCTCGCCGTGAATGCTGACGGGATCTGGATCAGCAGGACAACGGATGGAAATTGCGGCAGTCGGTTCAGGCATCGGGCGGGAATACAAATCTGTTTTCTTCAAACCAACTGTCGAATTCGATGTCTTTATAATAAAAATGTTTGTTACGCGAGGTAGTTAGAACGCTGACCTTGTAATCCTGGGGGTCTCGGGTTCGATTCCCGGCGGTGCCCGAATTTATAACTTGTGTTGGGCAAGGCCGTGGTCTAGGCAACACGGAGTTTTCCTCCGGGGGCTTCCCCGGTTTCTCCGTGGCATCCCAACAATTACTCCACTCACACACAGAAGAAGGCAATGGCAAACCACTTCTGGATCAT